GTGTTGCTTTTATTGGTTAATGAAAAAAGAAACTGCCTTGGCCTGTTGTTAAGGCAGAACTTAAGCAGGCAGGGAAAACTAAACTGAATGCTGGGAGGGAGAAAGGCGGAGTCAGAGAGACGCCATGGAGCCGCAGAATTTTACCCGGTAAGCCACAGCCTCGTGGCGATACACAGATGAATAGAAATGGGTTAAACTAATATGTAAGAGTTAGCCAATAAGAAGCTAGAGCTAATGGGCCAAGCAGTGATTTAATTAATACAGTTTCTGTGTGATTATTTCAGTTCTGGGCTGTCAGGACAAACAAGTGGCATTCTCTAACATACTGGCACCCGATATGCAATACCATTCCAAAATGCAGAGAAGGGAACATAATGAGGAAACACTGGACCAAAGCAAGATGGAAAACCAGCTAGGCAAACTCGAAACTTGGCATCTCTATGTCTGATGTCAAATGCCCTTCAGATCTCCAACTCACTTCTTTCTCTTGGGCTGATTCCACTCCCTGATAGCGATTTTCCTCGGCAGTTATCCCGTGACTCTAGCGTCCCTTCACAGTTTCACACAATGGCCTCTCCAGGCCTCCACTCAGGGACACCCCTGACTCATACTTGACCTCTGTGGCTTTCTTTAGTTGCAAAGGCAAATTCTGTAATCTGTTTATTCTGTCCTTGACTCTAAAATCAGCACGTGGCCAAAGCTGCCAAGTTCTGCTTCTTGCTGAGGCTGGAACATGGCCCCATCATTCAAATATATCTTTATCAGCTCTCTGTTTTCAATGATTTCCTTCTCTGCCTAAGCCTGACTGTCTTGAAACTGGATTTGCAGACCAGGCTGGCCTCAAAATCAGAGATCTGCCAACCTCTGGCCTTGGAGGGCTGGAATTAAAGGTGTGTGCCACCACACCTGTCTCTAACCTTTTCTTTAGTTCCTTTTCATAATTTGGAAATTTAGCTGGGTGGGATCTTGCCCTGATGTCACCACTGTCTTTATTTTATTTCTTAATCTGTTTATCTCCTTAAACATAGAATTTAGTTCCATTCTACTTCTTAGTGATCTTCTTCTCCTCAAAAATTTTTTAATTTACCTTGCTTAGCTTGTTCCTTTTCATTGTAAATCTTAATTAGAGATACCACTAATAACCACAGGAAAGAGTCTATACTAGGCTGTTTCAAGATTTCCTCTGTCAATGGAATTAATCAAAATCTCTTTTTTATTTGGCTTCAGACAGACTTTTTGGACAAAGGTAAAAGACGCCACTTTCTTCACCAAAATATCACTAGAATTGCAAGGCCACATACTAAAATTCTTCTCCTCTGAAACCTCTTTAGACAGGCTCCCATAGTTCAAATCACCCTCTGTATCACTGTCTTCCATGCTTCTACTAGTATGACCCATTGAGTCCCACTTAAGTCATCCCATAACCCAAAGTTTGCTTTCCTAACTCAAACTCCCGAAGTCCATAGTACTCCAAACAAAGACGTGGTCCAGACCACAGTCCCTAATGCCAATTTCTGTTTTTTTTTTCCAATTTCTGTTTTAATTAGGGTTTCTATTGCTGTGAAGAGACACCATGACCATGTCAACTCTTTTAAAGGAAAACATTTAATTGGGGTGGCTGTCATACAGTTTCAGAGGTTCAGACCATTATCATCATGATGATATATGGTGACATTCAGGCAAACAAGGTGGTGAGATTCCCTATATCTTGACCAGTAGGCAACAGGAAGTGTCCTGAGAAGCTGGGTGTGGCTTCAGCATATATGAGACCCTAATGCCCACCTTCACAGTGACACACTTCCTCCAGCAGGGCCACACTCACTCCAACAAAACCATACTTCCTAATAGTACCAATCCCTTTGGGGTCATTTTCTTCCAAACCACCACAGATGAATCAGCAGTTAAGAGCACACTGCTTTTGGAGAAGATCCTAGTCTGGCTCCCACATGGTGGCTCACAACCACCAGTAACCCCAGTTCTAGGGGATTCAGCAGGCATGCATGTGGAGCATACACATAAAGCAAAGTTTTATATACATAAAGCAAAATAAATAAATCTAAAAAACTATTAAATAAATATGTCATCCTAAATTGTGATACACCTAGAAAAAATGTTTAATTTTTAAACCAGATAATGTAATGTAATGTGTAATATATATTCTTTTTTGAAGTGTCTAATATGGTATGTGTAAAATCAATGATGAATTTGGTGTACTTTAATTCATTAAATTCAAAGCCATTTATAAATATTCTAGGTAAGAGTATAGTCCTCTCTGAACTTAGGGAAGTAGATATAACATAATAAACACCAAAGGACTTTCTTTTAGCTATTAGCATTTCCATCAAGACCCATCTTCTCAACAGATGAACTGTGTGTGTGTGTGTGGAGTGATTTTAGGTGTGTGTGCACACACATGTGTGTGCACATATGTATGTACACAAGTGCATATGTGCCACAGTGTACTAATGAAATCAGAGGACAACTTTCCAGAGTGGGTTCTTCCCCTCCAATCTGGGTTCTAGGCCTCAAACTCAAGTAGTCTGGTCTGCATGACAAGAACTTTTGTTTGCTGAGCCATCTTTGTGACTCTGCTTTTGTTTTATATAAAGCCTAGAGTTGTGTGTCTTCGGCTGGCCTAGAAGTCACTGTGTAGTCCAGACTGACTTGAACCTGTGACTTCCCCTCTGATCTCTGCTGGGGATATGGGGGTGAGTCACAATGCTCAATTTTGGTTACTTTGTTTCTTTCCTCTGCCTCTCCTCCTCTGCTTTATTATTTTCTCATGAAAATGTTAAGGTCCTTGGTTACAGCTGAGTGCATTGGCAATGTGCTTGTATACCGTGCATACAAGGTCCTGGATTCAATCTCCAGTACCCATGTGAAACAGCAACAAAACCAGCCAAACAACCCTCAGACTCTACCATCCACATGGTATAGATTCACATCTTTTAGTTTCTGCCTCCTGGCAGTAGAGCTAGATTCCTTAAGGGTGGGATATTTTCCTATGCTTCCTTGACTGATTTGGTGAGCATTTGCTTAACAATAAAGTCAGGGCTGGAGACATGGCTTAGCATCTAAGAATGCATACTGTTCTTCCTGAAGACCCAATTTCATTTCCCAATATCCATGTTGGCTATTTCACAACCTCCTGCAACTCCAGCTCCAAGGCACCCAGTGCCCTCTACTGGATTCTGTGGGCACCTGCACTCATGTTGCACTCACTTTCATACATATATACAAACAAGGATAAATAATAATACATTTTAAAAGATTGAGACAGGCTGTAGTGGCACATGCCTTTAATCCCAGCATGCAGGTGGATCTCTGAGTTTGAGGCTAGCCTGATCTACATAGTGAGTTCCAGGTCAGCCAGCTTTCAGGACTATGTAGAAAAAAAACCCTGTCTCAAAAAAACAAAAACCAAACAAACAATAAAACCAGACTTTAGTGATGGTTTGTCAACCTCGAGAAGATACTAAAAATTTTAGTTTGTTTTAAGTAGTTATGTGGTTAAAAAACTTACACCATATAAAATAGTCATATAGGGGCTGGAGAGATGGCTCAGAGGTTAAGAGTATTGCCTGCTCTACCAAAGGTCCTGAGTTCAATTCCCAGCAACCACATGGTGGCTTACAACCATCTGTAATGGGGTCTGGAGCCCTCTTCTGCCTTGCAGGTATACACACAGACAGAATATCATATATATAATGAGCAAATAAACAAAAAAGTCATATAAATGGTTAGTAAAAATATTTAAAATAATTAATGAAACTGGTTTAAAATTCAGATCTTTATTTCAAAGCTTATAATCATCTCCTAGAAATATGTAAGAGTTGTAATGGTAAAATGCTGCGCAGTTCCCTGAGGGGCAGTAGCAGTAGGCAGTGGACCACACGGGGCAGCCGGGCAGATGAGAGACCTTGTCGGGTTGGCGTTGGCGGGGCAGCTGGTCCCACGAGGAGCTGTGGTGGGTGGGAGAAAGAGATGGATAGGACGGCCATGCAGAGTGAGTTTGGATATAGTTTATTCAGTAAAAGGGAAGGGGGAGAGAGAGAGAGAGACAGAGACAGGGAGACAGAGAGACAGAGGGGAGAGAGGAGAGGAGGTCACAGCCACCTCTTCTGAAGAGAGACTGGACAGAGAGAGAGCTCTGAGGCTGGAAGTGGAAGGAAGATCTGCTTGCCTAGGCAAAAGGGGGAGTGGGCAGGGCTTGTCTCTTAAAGGGTCGGGACAGATCATTAGAAGATATATGCCCGTTTGCATGAGGGTGAGCCAGAAAGAAGCGCTAAATAACAAACAGGATACTGTTCAAAGAACACTACAAGACAGCCTAGAATTGACACTGTCAAGTTGTTGTTATTAGTGGTCACCCTTACGCAGATCTACCATGAAAAGATAAGCTGGGCAAAGAGAAATAGAAGATATACAGCTTGATGAGAAAAAGAAGACCAGTGAAGATGATGTTGTAGACAAATCCTGTACTCAAGGAGATAAGGCGTTTGAAGAAAAGCGGGTGCTAAATGGAATAAAGGGGGTGGTGATCTCAGGGCAGGACCTCACCCAGCTAAACTCCAACCTGTGAAAAGGGATAAAAGGAAAGCTTACGCAGGGAAGGAAACCCCCAACAGCTGATGCGAATGTACTCGAATAAGGGGGCCAAGTTCCAGTTCCAGCTAAGAGATAATCTAGCAGCTTTGGTCACATGGTTCCTCTTTTAGAGCCAAGCATACGAAAAAGAAAAAGGGTTTGTGTAATCTCCCTCTGGGGCTAAGAAGAGCTCCTGAGGACAGGCGTATATCTCTGCCTGGAGGCCCAGAAAGGCCACTGTGTAAACTGTGAAGATGAAGCCTAGATTTTGTTGGAGAACCAAAGGTTTTGGAGATGCAAGAGTGGTAAGGAGAGATGTAGACCAGAGGTGGGCCAGCCCAAGAGAGAGAAGTGTGTTACAGTCAACAAAGCTGAGAGGAACTGGAGATCTCTAGAGTGCTTTGGCATCAGACATGGAGCTGCAGAGTTTGGAGTTTGCCCCGTTAGTTTTCAGCCTTGCTTTGGTTCGGTTTTTCCTCATTATGTTCCTTTTTCTTGCCTTTAGAATGGTAACGTACATCCTGCTCATTGCGTGTTGGAAGTAAGTGATTTGCTTTTTCATTCTGATTTTGCAGGGGGTTACGAGATTCTCATGAATCTCAGAAAACTTTGGATATTTCAACAGTGTTGTGACCATGCTAGACTATGGGGACTTTTGAAGAACTGAATACATTTTTGCATGATATGGCTACAAGTCCAAGGGCGCCAGGGAGTGGATTGTAATGGTTTGAATAAGATGGTCCCCCTTATGCCTGGGGTAGTGGTGGTATATGCCTTTAATCCCAACTCTCAAGGCAGAGGCAGGTGGATCTTTGAGTTCAAGGCTAGCCTGGTCTACATAGTGAGTTCAATGACAGCCAGGACTGTTACACAGAGAAACCCCGTCTCGAAAGAAAAAAACAAAAGAGAGAGAGAGAATGGCCCCTATAGGCTCATGTACTGGAATGCTTAACCAATGGAAGGTAGAACTCTTTGGAAGGTTTAGAAGGATGTGTTTGTTAGAGGAAGTGTGTCGCTGGGGTGGGCTTTTGAGGCACATGACATGAAGTGCCCATGTCATGTGCCAGACCTAGTCTCTCTTTCTCTCTGCCTTGCTCCTCTTACATGTATGTTACCATGCTCTCTGTGATGACAGCAATAGAGTAAACCTCTGAAACTGCAAGTGCCCAGGTAAATGCTTTCCTTTGAGAGAGTTGCACTGGTCGCGGGTCTCTTCACAGCAATACAGCAGTTCTGGCTTGTTTGGAACTTGTGACCGTTATCTTGCCTCTTCCTACCGAGCGCTTGTATTACAGGCATTTGCCACCACACCCAGCACTTTACATGTTTTGGTCATTGTTATACTGTTGATATTAACTTTCATGTCCAAAGATTGATTGATTTTTTTTAAAAAAATACTTGGCTACTTTTTTTTAAAAAAAGATTTATTTATTTATTATGTACACAGTGTTCAGCCTCCATGTATGCCCTCAGGCCAGAAGAGGGCACCAGATCTCATTATAGATGGTTGTGAGCCACCATGTGGTTGCTGGGAATCGAACTCAGGACCTCAGGAATAGCAGTCAGTGCTCTTAATCTCTGAGCCATCTCTCCAGCCCCGATTGATTTTTTTTAATTCAGGAAATTGTCAAATAGCCCTGGCTGATTTAGAACCTAGGCAAGCCTTGAACTCATTTGTTTACCTTTGCCCCCTGAGTGTTGGCTTCATAGGACTATGTCAAAGATCATCTGTTTTTACTTTTGTGGAAACGCACCTGTGGATGGGATTGTTGGCAATTCTATGATTAGTTTTTGAGAACCTGACAAAGTTTTCTATAGTAAATACACCATTTTATAGTTCCACTAGCAGCTGACAAAGATTTTAGTGTTTCCAATACGCAAGAGATCCAGAATGCTCATTTATATGCATTTTTTTTCTTTTCTGTTTCTGGTATCTGGGAAGTGAACCTGGATAGGGCCCCATAATAAACACAATAAACATCCTAGCCCTCGCCCGTTTCTGCTTTTCTGAGTTGGGACCATGTCATATGGCTGAGGCTGATCTTGTTATGTTCTGTGTAGCCTAGGCTGTTAAGACAGCACCCCTACTTAGTCTCCTTAGTGCTTCGATCAAAGGTGTGCAGCACCATGCTTGACTTTGTATTTTCTATTTTAAATAATGTGGTCATGCGAGGTATGAAGTGGGATCTCATTTTGTCTCGCTTTACACGTCTGTAATGATGAATGAATGGTTTTGCACATCTTGTTATGCACTTGTTGGTTCCATATCTTTGAAGGAATGTCTATGCAAGTCCTTTCCACTCACACTTTACAAGATGGACTTTTTTGCTTTTGTTTTTCGAGACAGGGTTCTCTGTGTAGCTTTAGAGCCTGCCCTGGAACTTGCTCTATAGACCAGGCTGGTCTTGAACTAATAGAGATCTGCCTGCCTCTGCCTCCTGAGCACTGGGATTAAAGTTGTGCGCCACCACTGCCCTGCTAAAATATATATATTTTTAATATAGACTATTTTTTAATACAAAATGGAGAAATGATAGACTGTGTCACCCATAATGGAGTAAACTGATATCTTAGCCTTATGTACTGAGACAGACACACACCATCTATGTGTACAGTGTACTTGACAAATGATTGAACTTGACGGTAGTAGCAGGAAAACAAAATCCAAACTGAGGAACATTCTGCAAAACAGAACTAGAGTCTTTACAATGGCCACTGTTTATGGTTCATGCCTGTCTTCCTTGCACTTGAGAAGCCAAGGCCTTTATGTGCAGATAGACAAACTCAAGGTCAGCCTTTGAGACGTTGTGGAACCCAGTCTTAAAAAATGTCTCAAGTAGAGATTTTACTTTATCTGGCATCTGAGAAATGACCCTGGGTAGGGCCCCAAAGATTAGGTTAAAAAAAAAAAAAAGATGGGTGCTAACAACAACTGATGACATTGGATTAAAAAAAAGTCACCAAATAGATTTTATTGGAATATTTCAGAAACGGGAACAATGGCTTGTAAATTACACATGGATAGTATTGGATTTTCTCGCAGTGATGACATTCTTTATATAGGAAAATATCTTTGGCCAATGAAATGTTTAGGGCTCGGGTGTAATAGACTACAAACTACTGAATGACTGTGCAAAATAAACCTTGCACACACAGAGAGAGAAAACGGGGAGAAATGTTTTATTTTATTTTTTTTTAAAAAAACTAGCCGGGCGATGGTGGCGTACGCCTTTAATCCCAGCACTCCGGAGGCAGAGGCAGGCGGATCTCTGTGAGTTCGAGGCCAGCCTGGTCTACAGAGCTAGTTCCAGGACAGGCTCTAAAGCCACAGAGAAACCCTGTCTCGAAAAACAAAAAAAAAAAAAACCCCAAACAAACAAACAAACAAACAAAAAACTAATGAATGTGGGCTATTAGTACCGATCACTGCATTTTTTTCGTATGTTTCATATTTTTTTTTAAATAAAAAATAGAGGAAGTAAAGTCTCTTCAAACTCAAAGCGGCCTTTTACTGCTTGCTGGGACATCTTTAGAGTAAGACTCAATGATACAATTGTAACCAAAGGAGGGCTGAATGCTCAGGACCAGTATCTTTCAAAAACACTTGGGACAAGAGAAAACTGAGGTGATAACAACGATGTGCCAGTCAGCTTGATTCACATCTTAGGTAGCCTGGGAAGATGGAAAGAAAAAGAAACCAGCCAGGCCTGAATAGGGATAAGGACTGGTAGAACTGTTTGACCTATTTAGGGTTCAATTTCCCCATTGTAGGAGGAAGGAAAAAAAGGACTGCCTGGCATAATCCCTGTTTTAAGCTCTCATCTCATGGTATTTAGAAGAGTGGGCTTCATGCGCCAAACTTTCCTTTCAAACTATGTGCAGCTTTTCCTTCATTAACCTCACAAAGTCCTGTGGGAACAGGGAAATCACTTCTCCAAGGTCACACACTCAAGGACCCAGGTTCTCCAGCTCTTGGTCCCGTGCCCTTTCCACGCTCGCCAAAAGGGGAGGAAGCTGTGCTCATGGGGATGCAAGGATGAAGAGGCCGCGGGGAGAGAGGTGGTGCGGGACCCGCGAAGGCGCAGGCCACGGAAGGGCGCACGGAGAGGCGTGCGGCACGACCGGCCCCGGTGCGGAGCGAGGCGTGGCTGGGAAGAAGGGTCGTGCGACTGGACCCGCGGCGGCCGCAGAACCGAGGAGGCGGAGGCGGGCTGTGGGAGGCCGAGCGTGGGAGGCCGTGGGTACGTGGCCGCCTTTCCACACGCGGGGGCCGCGGAGCCGGCGCTGCGAAGGGCGCGGCCGGGGTCCCGACCCCTCCACGCGGGAGGTGCGGAGGGGGCGGGGCCGCGGGGCGGGGCCTCGGGGGCGGGGCCGCGGGGGCGGGTCCCATTGGTCCCCGCGGGAGCGGCCGCGGCGGCGCAGGCGCGGTTCCCGCCTCCCCTGCCGGCGAGCGAGTGGAGGCTGCATCCCTGTGCGGCTGGTTGTCGCGTCGCCGCAGCCGCCGCCGCGGAGCCCCCCGCCCCCGCCCGGCCGCCCCGAGTCGGAATGAGCTCCAGGAAAGGTGAGCGGCGCGCGCGGCCCCTGCCCCGCCTCGCGCCCCGCAGGCGGCCGACCCGACCGTTAATGTGTCTTCTCTCTCCTCAGTGCTGGCCATTCAGGCCCGAAAGCGGAGGCCGAAAAGAGAGAAACATCCAAAAAAGTGAGTCCGCGCGGCGCTCGGGCCCGACACCGCCCCGCCCCGCCCCGCCGAGGGTTGCTTGCGGCCGCGCAGGCAGAGCTTCCCGGTCCCCGGGCCGCGGGTCTCCCGGGACGCGGCGCCGGCTCTGCGTGCCCTGGAGGGGGAGGGGTGGGGGAGGGGCGCGCGGCCGCGGGTTCCGGAGCTGCGACCTGGCCCGGCGGCCTGCGAGCCGCCCGGGCTCCGCGCTCGATCCCGCGCCTCGCGCCCCTGAGCCACACCCGCGACCCGCACCTCCGTCCCTGCCCTGCAGCGGTCGGCTGGGGAGCCGGAGAGGGAGGCGGCGGCGCGCTGACAGCTGGACTGAGGGAGCCAGTGCGCTGCCGCCTCTGCCACCTCCCGGTCCCGCCGCAGCCATCCAGCTGAAAGCCCGAGCTGCTTGTCAAGTGGTCTGGCCTCGGGTGTGTTCCTGGCACGACTTCAGGTCCGAGACCAGTGCGTTTCGGCTCTCGGGTTTTTCATTCGAAACTTTCTGCTCGGGTCGAGCGTTACTTGGGTGCTGCGGCTGCGCCCAGGTCGCTCGCCGCAGCGGGGGAGAGCGTGTGCGGGGGCAGGTCCCTCCCGCGTGGTGCTCGGGACTGGATCCATCGGCTACTGATATTTCAAATGTGCCAATCCAGCCACCTCCATCCTGGACGTGCAGCCCGGTTTGGGCGGCAGCTGCTGGAAAAGCCTTTCGCGGAGAAGTAGGCGCTCTGAGGCTTCAGAGCGCCGCCGAGTGTTCCTGTTTCCTCTCTCTTTGGGTTTGCTGGACCAGCGTTAAACATCTTTGCTCGCACTGGTTGCCTCGTTCTTCCTTTTGTGCAAGAAATTTGTGTGTTATCTTTGATACTTTGGAGAACAACGGAATTGCCTTTATTTAATAAAATCCCGAAATATTGTTTATCTATTTTGCAAGGGGTGGGATGCCCCTCAGCTCTCCTAGGTGGTGGTGGTTGTTACTCATATCGGCCCTAGTCGCAGCCTAGAGGATTTCCCTCCCATTTGGTGGCATCTAGGAAAATTGGCAATCATTGTTAGTGTGGAGGTAATTTTACAAGATTGTCCTCTTTCAAAATTGAATATAACATGACTATTTGTAGGTCTTCATAAGATGTGGACATCTACGTAAACATCTTTTATTAGGAGGCAACAAGTCTTGAAAACTGGAAAGTAAAAATTGAAAAATGAAAAAAACAGTTTTTATTATTCTGCGAGTATTTGGATTTGGGTGTGACACCTGTGGAAGTCAAGTAACAACTTTCAAGAGTTGATTATCTGCTATGTGGAGACCTAGTGATCAAACTCCGGTTGATAAGTAGCTTAACCTGTGGACCATCTCCCTGGCCCAGATATGGGGTATTTAAAATATTGAAACCCAATGTCTGATAGTTTTAAGATGCTTTCTAAAGGCCAGTGCTATTGCTGGACCGTGGTGGTGCAGGCCTTAATTCTAACACACTCGAGGCAGAGTCAGGTGGACTCTGTGAGTTCAAGGCCAACTGGGTTTACAGAGTGAGTTCCAGGATGGCCGTGAAAGTTACACAGAGAAACTGTCTCACAAAACTAAAAAGGAAAGAAAAAGAAACAGTTGAGAAAGCAGGGACCTGCCTTTTAGGATAGCTCTTTTTTCTGTATATAAACATATGTTTATCTGTGTATATTACATGTGCACAGAGAAAAATCATTTTTTAATTGAATAAGCATGTATTTCATTATTTTCCTGTTTCAGGGTCTTTCATAATGGTCAAGGGTCTTTGCTCTATTATATTTGGATTTGTGGTATGTTAATAATTAGGAATAGCCGTATAAATTATCTACTCCTATGTCACTTTGCAGTCTCTTCCAATGTGTATGTGTTTAAAGGAAAACACAGTTAATGATGGGAAGAACTGGCTTGATGAAGTAGGTGGTTATCAGTAAGAACCATATCAAATCAGCGATTGTGTGGAGGTGTCACTTTTCACTTAGTATTTTTTTTTAAGATTTATTTATTTTTTTTATGTATACAGTGTTCTGGTGCTGGCAGGCCAGAAGAGGGCACCAGATCCAGATCTCACTACAGATGGTTGGGAACCACCATGTGGTTGCTGGGAATTGAACTTAGGACCTCTTAACCACTGAGCCATCTCGCCAGCCCCTCACTTAGTATTTTTTTGAATCAAGATATTATTATTTAAAGTAATTTCTGGATATAATTTATTCATATGTTCAGTATATATTTGTATGCCTTAGAAGATGATGTGAGAGCTTTGTACATAGTAATATTCCATGACACTTTAAATCTAAGGAGGTTTAAAGAGAGGCATCAAGAAAGTGACTTCAGATAGTGATACTAATAAGATGACATTTGTGCGGTTCGCATGCATTTCCACGTGAGGTGGATGCTGTTCCCGTCACCATTTCCAGATGAAGAAGTAACATGCTAGCAGTTAGGTTGTGTCTAGGCAGCCAGGCACCAGAGGCCACCTCAACTTCGAGGAAATGACATTTGGGCAGAAATTAGGGTGAAGAGGGGTAGGGATTGGGCTGGGGTTGTGTGATAAGGTGGATAAGAGGCAGGCGAGACACACATAGGCCTGTGTAGGAGGCTTATGTCTGTGTAAGATGGTGTCATTCCTGCCTGAATAGTTTTGGCCGTGTGTGGGGATGGGGTGAGAGTGAGAACAGAGCTGGTCTGTGCTGATGATGCGGTAAATAGGCAGCTGCGTTCTAGGTTCAAGGAATGACACTGGTGAGGGGGGACTTCATTCCACAGATGTCTCTGACAGGTTAGAACCATACAGCCTTGTTTGGGTCAACTCGAGTGTCCTGTGGCTAGTGTTTATGCATTTTAAGTCTGTAAGGGACTAATTTTAAACTGTGGTAGAGACTGGCCAACTTGAGCAATGTGACTGTGTGGGCCTGGCCTCATGAAGTGTGATCTACTTTTGTCTTTTGTCATTTCTTCCTTGTTATATGCAAATGGACCTACCTCTCTCTCTCTCTCTCTCTCTCTCTCTCCCTCCCTCCCTCCCTCCCTCCCTCCCTCCCTCCCTCCCTCCCTCCTTCCCTTCTTTTCTTTCTACAGGGCTTCTCTGTGTAACTTTTGTGGCTGTCCTGGAACTGCCCCTGTAACCAGCTTGGGGAGAATACCTACCTCCTCTTCCAGAGTGCTAGGATAGTAAAGGCTGCTCATCAGACTTTTCATTAGGCTTTTATGAATTGAGCATGTGTCCACACCCCCCCCATGTTTATATAGTACAGATCAGTCTCAGAATGGAGGTCCTCTAATTTCAACTGAACTCCATATTTTAGGACATGAGGTGTGGGAAACTGCTGTGGTGAGAGGTTACTTTTTTAGTGTTTCAGAATTTGTAGTTGTCAGGAATGTTTTCTGCCTAGTTGAGTCAAACTTTATTCTTTTGTACATTGTTTCAATGAGTGTACTTTGCTTATTAATTTTATTGCTTTGAGAGTATAGGTAGCAGGGATTTACTGTATTGTCATTCAATCATGAAGTTGATCTAGTCCCTTCCCCCCACTTTTGGGGGTGGGACAAGGTTTCTGTGACTCAATCCTCCTGCCTCAGCCTGGATATTGTTGAGAATACAAGTAGGCACCATCATACTTCAGTCTGTGTAAACTGTATTCATAACATACGGATTTTTGCCCTAGGGCATTTGTATATGTAGGTAATTAAAACAAATTTTTTAGATGGTCTTAGGCAGTTTGGCTGACCTTAAACTTACAACATAGTTAGCGTTAGTACTCCTGCCTCCACCTCTATAGTGCTGGACACACAAGCCTGCATCAAGACATTTGTCTTGTAAATAAATTATTTTTAAGGTCTCTTCCATTTGTTGATACTTTTGTAGGGAGTGCAGGGATCAAGCTACAGAGCCTCGTGAATGGTAGGCACATTCTCTGCTAATGACTGCCCAGCCACAGTACTTATTGAGACATAGTACTTAAAGAATAAACATTATCTTTTAGAGATCTGGGTGTGGTGGTATACTTTTATAGGCCCAGCTGCTTTGTGGAGGCTGAGACAGGAAGATTTCGTAAACACTAGAGTATGTGATCATCCAGAGTGGCAGGGATATGATGGTCTAAAAAAACATGGTTGTAAGCTCCGTGGTGGTGGTGGCACATGCCTTTAATTTTAGGTCTCAGGAGTCAGAGACAGGCAATTTTCTGAGTGCCAGGCCAGCCTGGTCTACAGAACTAGTCCTAGGACAGCTAGGGTTGTTACACATAGAAACTCTGTCTCAAAAAACAAAACTAAAACCAAAAACAGCAATGCAAAAAACACCCTCCCCCCCATGGCTTTAATGTTTTGGTGCTAGAGATGGAATCTAGGGCTTCACCCATCCTGATTTATGGTCCTTTTATGTAAGGTAGTATAACCATAACCATATTGTCAATATATATATGACTTTGTTTTGGATTTCTTTCATTTAACATATTTTCAAGATTCATCCATGTTCTATTGGCATTTTACTTCTTTATGTTACTAAGTAACTTCTTTATATTATCAAGTAATCAAATAACCGTTATATTGATTGAATTTTATTTATCCATTCAACCATTATTGGTCATGTGGGTAGCTTTTTTTTTTTTTTCAAGACAGGTTTTCTCTGCAGCTTTGGAAGCCTATCCTGGCACTAGCTCTTGTAGACCAGGCTGCCCTCGAACTCACAGAGACCTGCCTACCTCTTCCTCCCGAGTGCCACCACCGCTCGGCTGGGTAGCTTCTTATTAAGAGCTATAACCGTATTTTTAAATTTTAAAAGTCTTTGGAACAATTCATTTGAAATACTTTGACTTAGACTCTTTTAAAAAATACTGAAATTGCCAGTGTACCCTTCATTTGGTCCTATTCCACAAAAATATAGAATAGTGTCAAAGTAGGAAGTTGACATTGACAATACACACACACACTTTTGTTGTGTACTGCAATGTTTGGCTTTTACATGAGTTCTGATAATTCAAACTTAGGTCTCTACCCACTGAGCCATCTTCCCAACCAATATAAAATACTCTAGATAAAATCTACTTGAGAGAGGCTGAAGATGTGTTTCAGGCCAATTGGGGCTTGTTAATGATACATTGTTTTAAAACAAGCAAACAAATGGCAATAAAAAAGTATTTGACTTTCACTAGTTGTTATATGTGTCTTTTCTGCTGGGTAGTGCTATCATATATTATCACCTCCATGGGTTTGTGTAATCACCATAAGCAATATGCAGAACTGTTTCATCAGCACAACTAAGTCTGCTCTCTGGTTACTACCCTTTCCCCATACAGTCCTATAAATCACTAAAGGTTTTAATACGTTGAGAATGTTAGTAAACAAAGTTATACAGTATCAATATGTAACTTTTTGACATTTAGATTTTTTTTTCTCTTTGCATGCCCTTTTGTTGTTGTTGTTCAGACAGGGTCTCTCCATTTAGTTCTTGATAGCCCAGAATTTGCCACATGAACTGCCTTTGTCTCTTTGTCTCCCAGGAATATTATAAAGGTGTGTATACCACCAAGCAGGACCTCTGTACATCTTTGAGCTTCTTGGTATTGCCTATGTCAGTAGTTCCTGCCCCAGCCCCCCTCCATTTTTGGTGAGTGCCTGATATGAAAACCTTGGTAACAAAGCATCATACCACTTAGAACACCCATTTTGCCCCTGCTTTTGAGACAGGGTTTCGACCTTCCCAGCAGGTCCTAAGTTACTCCAGGGTCTTGAAGAGGCACTATCTGAAAGACATGGGGGGTGGCGGGGGAGAAACGGACGCTAAGCAGTATTCTTTTATTTATTTATTAATTATGTATACAATATTCTGTCTGTGTATATATCTGTAGGCCAGAAGAGGGCACCAGACCTCATTACAGATGGTTGTGAGCCACCATGTGGTTGCTGGGAATTGAACTCAGGACCTTTGGAAGAGCAGACAATGCTCTTAACCACTGAGCCATCTCTCCAGCCCCCAGTATTCTTTGTCAAGGAATCCGTTTATTGAAGCAAGTTTCATGTCTTAAATACTCCTCAGTAAGGAGCCCGGGCAGGGGGAACCGAGGAAAGGGGGAAGGGAAGGAGGGGCTGGGTAGCTATGCAGCTAAGCTGGGCAGTTTGGCAACTAAGCATGGCAGTTGCAAGGTCAGTGGCTAGAACACCTGCTGTTAGTGATAAGCAGCAAGCGCTGAAGACACTCTGTGGTGCTTTCCAGAGCTTGAGTCTCCAAGGTCAGCACATAATGTTTTGGCTAACTTTAAGTTTTCTGTTTCAAGATTTTTACTTCAAGGCCCTGTGAGATGTGAGAAAGGAGAAGCCTGAAATGGCTCCTGACAGGGTTTCCAGTAACAGGACTGAGGCTGCTGTGAACTTTGTTTTGCAGTTAAGGATGACCTTGAATTCCTGATATTTGTGCCCCTAGCTCTGGAGTGCTGAGTTTAAGGGCATAAACAATCACTGCCCGGCTTCTTACTTTTTCTAATGTAGGTTTTGGGAATGAACTCAGGTCTAAATGCTTACAATGTAAGCACTTAACAAACTGAGCTATCTCTCCAGCCCTTAAATTTACTTAAAATTTTATTATTAGTCTGCTGGATATAGTGGTGCATACCTTTAACTCCAGCTCTCAGGAGTCAGACTTTGTGAGTTCAAGGCCAGCCTGGGTTAAATAGTGGTACTCTGTCTTAAAAA